TTGTTCGGGCCTTAGGAGTTCCTCAAAGTACTCTCTCCACCGCGGAGGAATGTCATCATCTTTGGTAGGAGGGTGTGCAGGCCTGCCCTTCAAAATTCTGAGACTGCCGTTCTTTTCATCTCAGAGACGGCGAATGGTCTGCCAGAATACTTTGTTTGCCGTGTGGAAATTCGACTCCAGCGCCTCACCGAATTTCTTCCAGAGTCATATTTTGCTTTCGTCACTCCTTTCGCTGGCGCCTTGTGTGCTTCGACATATCGCACTCGAGTAGAAGGCTCGTTGTTTCCAAGCCCTTTTCTTGAACGCTGCTTTCTTCTCTTTAAGTGTCCATGAGGAAGATCTTTTCTGACCTGCAGGCGGCAGGCGAACCCGTTTGAATCCGGAGCATGCCGCTGTTAAAGTGCTGCCTCTCTGTTTCCACATGAGGGGTCAGCACAGGTGTTTGTTGAAGCCGTCGTGCGATGTTGTTTGCAAATTTCACTCTCGTGTCCACGGTAAATAATGTTTCCCATTTTATTCTCTGGTTGGTTCTGCCGCTTAATCTTCGTATGGTGCTCCATTTTTTACGGCGTAGCCTGCCAGCAACAAGATGGTGAATGGTTGATAGTTCTACGCCTCTCTTAACCCGAACATCCTTTGCAGGGCGTCTTAACTCAGACTTCACGATTACCAAATCGATCATCGACTTCTGTGCATAATCTTCCCTGTACCAGGTATACTGATGCACCCTTCAATGCTCGAAGTACAAAACCGCAGTGTCGTCGTGCCATTAGTGTTGAGGTCGCGCCGTTTTTTTCAATCACGCCGTTCCAGTTTTCAGCGTCTCCTCCAATATACGCATTAAAATCTCTTATGAGTATGAGGGACTCAGTATTCGGCACTTCGTACAGAGCACACTACACTTCCTCAAGGAAGCAATCATGTTCTCCCTTTAAATTTGGCGTCAACTCTTTGGCCCATTGTGGCTTCAGTCGGAGGAGTACCCCTCTTCCGCTGACAGACTTCCAATCAGTGATTATATCTGCGAGGTTGAGTTCT